TTTTTTTTTTTTTTTTTTTTTTGCAAAAACCTTGTTGGTCTAATAAAAGATATCTCTACTACGAGTCCTGATTGCCTTTTCCTCCAGACCAATATGGCTACAACCTGGATACCCGTCTTAATGCAGCACATTTAAGTGTGGCTGTGTGCTGGTAAACCAAGTGTGTAACCTTTATTGGTATTACTGGAGCAATAAGCAACCTATCTTCCGGGGCCCGGCAGCCACATTGTGGTGCATCACACCAGCTGGCTCCTGAGTTGCAATAATACCATCAGCTCTGGCAACCTCAAACGGCCTTTGCCAGGGAAACGCAGCACTTCACACAGGACAGATTGAGAAGTTCGAGCTTCTCCTAGATCTCTGAAATGAAAAATGAGGAGTGGTATCATGTTACTCCAGGAAGGGGTTTTTTTTTTTGGTTTTGCACTGAAAAAAGAGCAGCCCAGAGCATAAGACATTTAAAAAGGAAGTCCCAGGCATGCTCTGCAGCTGCAAGGCACACGAGTGCATTGCACTCTCCCACGGATATTGCATGTGGCCTCTAGACAATCAAAATGTGCCGTTTAGCTTAGCTGGGCCATATGGAGTGCAACACGTTCCCGAGCTAATTTCAAGCAGTAACGCTGGTGGTCTCGCACGCACACACACGCTCCTCCCTCACAACAAAGTATAATTAGCCCTTCTTGACCTATTAATCAGGCTCCGTCTTCAACGATGATGTTAAATGTTCATGTAAACGCGTGTTAATCAAGGCCATCTTTCATCTTGGTTGTGGTGGTGTTTAATTCTGTCAAACAGAAGTACTTCTCATTCTAATATTACCAAGTTTGTTGTTGCAAACCTCCATCTCAGCTGAAGCGGTTGACAAATGTGGTGAAATACGATGTGTTGGCGGAGAATCCTATTTTGTGTGCAAACACTGCTTTCAGTGTGGTAAAATATTTAGGTTGAAACCCTGATCCAGCAAATGGCTCTGCGTGGAGCCCCCTGGACTCCCGTGGCGTATCTCCGCAGACACTGGGGTTTACCCATATGGATTCACTTGCAGCGCTGGAGTATAGAGCACTGACTCCAGCATGTGCTTAAATCTATTAGGATTATAAACACTTCTGCGCAGGGCTCTTGTTTTTCTCTGCTTGCCTGTTGCCTACTGGACTGAGGTGCTGATACCCCAGTGAGGTCCCTTGCTACTACAACTCTTACAGTCCATGCAAGTCAACAGGACTTTGAGCCATGCACATGAGCCCACACTAGTAGGGACTGATGGTCGCAACATAATTGTACTAACGTGATTAGCTGTTTCAGAGAGACAAGACGTGATGAGACGCTGCGTGCTATGTGAGAGGTAACAAAAATACCCTTTCTTCCCCACGCATAAGTTCGTTTAAAGGAGCGTTGGTATCTCGCCATAAAATCAGCCCTCAGCATCTTGAATTGTGAAGATGTTTGCTTGGAAGACTGCAGTGGTCATTTTCTTTTTTCTATGTAGGACACGAGCCTGAAAAACATTTTTTCTTCAAGTTATAATGTTAATTTGAAGGTAACCGTCCTTTCAAGGATTAATTCCAGCCAAAGCAATAACCATTATTTACCAGACTTTGACATTTTTATCACTCATCATATTAGCAAATTTCCATTGAAAATGCTAAAATGGTTCGTCATAAGGCGCATAACTGCTTTAGCTGTAAAAATGACCAACACAAGTGCCTGTACTCAAACATTAAATTATACTGTAATTAATAAAGACAGTTAAACTGTCTACTAGCAACAGCAATTTAGGTAACCACATTTGATCGGCTATAAATTGTAACTACATTAAAATTCCAGAAATATTAGCAATATGGATTACTTGATGGAAATAGGTGCTGATCACCAACACTCCTATTTTACAGCGGAAGCACAGGTCATGTTGGCCACAAAACTGTGGGCGAAGATCAAGGCTGAGTACTTTTAATCTTGTGAAACAAGCAATTACAAATAGTTGCATCGATTTGTTAAAAAGCTTTAGGTGACATAAATTGTTTCCTGTTTAGCTTATTGCTCTGATACATAAATGTCACTGAGTATAATATTAATTAGAGTCATGGAACAACAAGGGTCAGCTGATAGAGCGTACAATCAAGGAGGTGTCAATCCTTTGGTGAGCGTTATGGAAGCCAGGAAAAGCAGATGCCCATTCGCACTGCAACGCCTGCATCCTACTTCTATGTAATGACAAAAGAAAGTGAAGGACATTGTCCTTTATAGGCGAAGTAATTACTTTAGAACCTGTGTAATTTTATGGTTTACGCTAAATTACAATGTTTTCATTCTTATATTCTTGCCACATAACGTAAGAATCCACAGCTAGTGTCAATAAAATAAAATCCTGTTTAAAAAGGCTTTCAGCTGCAGAAGGCTAATACTTTGTCTCCCAGCACATGGAAACTAAGCACACATTTTAGTCTGGTGTGTGTTTCTACACTTTAAAAATATATTTTTTTTTAAAACCAGGAAATAAAGGGCCGTGCAGGTTATTTACTTAGGATAAATCAAATGTATCGTATACACTGTTTCTTTGGATTGGCATACCACTTAGAAAAATACAGTAAGATGCTGAAAAAAATCTGGAGAAAATTTATTAAATATGATTTTTACTGTAATAGAATATTAATGTAACCCAATGCTCATTTCCCATTAAGTTGATCCCTTTTTAATACACACATGCTTTTTATTATTTTGCACTCATGCGAAAATTCCACATTCAGAGAGTTTCCATCTACTCAGGAATGTCTCTGGCAACGGCGCAGTAAGAAATCTTGAACTGAAAAAAAAAAGAAAAAAGAAAAGAGCAAATATCGAACGATAAGAGGTGGCACGGCGCTGATGAACTGAAGCAAAAGCCAATGATATAATAAGGGGTAGAAAGGCATTCGGCGCTGAAAAGGGAACAGTAGAAACAATTATACTTTAAATCCCTCCCTTCTCGCTGCTACTGTACCATAGCACAGATGAAAATGTTTGATTTGCAACATAAAAGATTCATTAATTACCACTTGAATATTTAAAGCTATTTTGCAGACTAACAGAGGCAGATAAAGCACTGAATTAAAACCTCTAATAAAATTGTAAAAATATTTCTGTACGTTTACCAGTGTTACTCTGCCTCTAGGTTTAGGGAGTGTGAGGCTGGGCTTGTTACAGAACGGAGCTTTTAAGTGGTAAACGGTCGAGCTTGCAGAGGATTATTGAGGTCTCGTTTTCAAATGTTTACCAGATACAATTTTGGAACCTAGCGCCTCGCACGTGGCGGCTCGTCATGGGAGCGCTACAGTACATGGCAAGGGTGTTTGTACTCTATGCCTACTTAAGCTATAGTTACAGAAGTGGTACATGTTTGTCTAGTTGCATGCTCCTACTATAATGCTCTCTTTGAGATGAAGCATCCTGAGTCAAGAATTGGCTAAGCCTGTTATAATTACTCTAATTAAAAAAAAAAAAATTGGGGTGGGGGGACAGCAGGTGTGACAACCTCAGGCACACAGTGGGAATTTGCAGTATAGAAGCATTTTTTCCTCCATGCATAGTAACTCATCTGCTTCTCCCAAATTGCATCATGGCCCTTGAGTATGCCTTAGGTGATGGCCCCAGCCTTGTTACGCCTGTTGCGGGTATGTCCACCTGGCAAAGGAACATGCAACTCATTTGCTTCCTGAAACATTAAATATATATATATATCTAGCACCTGCTTGGAAGCACTCATGATCTAGGGCCCCCTACAACCACAGAAAGCCAGTTCCTCAGCTGACAGGAGCTCTGTGGAGCAACGTGATGGTGACCAATCAGCCAGCAGGATTTTTATTTATTTATTTATTTATTTTTTACAGGTGAAGGCACCAATCTTGAAAGGATAAAGCAAGGACCAAGATATAGGGTCAGCTCCTAGCTGTTCCAGCTTTCTTCACAATTTGTTAATGATGAGCTGGGTAAGAGTATGCCATTTTGTTTTAAAAAAAAAAATCCCGTTGTGCTTTCTCACTGTGATTCCTGGGTTTGGCCAGTGATGTAGGAAACAGGCTCTTCTTGTTCTACTCTGTATATGTACAACATTAGCTTCTGAATTATATTAAGGATCTCCTACAGGAGAGCCATGGAAGAGGGCTTCATTACACTGAGGAAGAGACAACCTATGTAGAGACTGACATCTTTCCACTATCAACTGACCTGGTAAATGTAATCGGTGCTAGTTGTGATAAAGTGCATGTGAGGTTGTTACAAGAATGCTGCTGCAACCTGCTGGCTACTGGCCTTGGGGCTGTCAAAGGCTTAATGGTGAGGGGCAGCGCGGGGATAGGGACTTTGTTCTGTGTTCATATGGTGCCTAGTAGCTTGGATTGCAAGTTTGTGACTGGGGCTCCTAGATGCTACCACAATAAAAATGACAATAAGCTCCTTGTAAGACAAGCCCCAGCGTACTTACTTATAGCAGTGTGTTATGACAGTGTCTTTTACCCACACACATAGTGCACATTTTTACTTGCATCTCCATGCATGCATGCTCACTCATTCACTCACTACATATATATAGAGAGAGAGAGAGAAAGAGATCTATCTATATCTATATCTATCTATATACAGATATAGATAGACATAAAAATACACACACACACACACACACACACACACACACACACACACACACAAAATGAACCCTAAGTCAAGCAGAGGTTGCAAAGGCTCTATGAGGCCCACTACTGACTTCAGCATTGTCAAGTTCTTTAATGTCATATACTACCCTAATGGAAGGCAAAAGTAGGCCCTGATCTTGTATGTGTTTAACTTCACACACTGTGAGTATTTCTATTGACTCCAGTAACAAAGAACTCAATTGATTTTTGGCTTTTTTTTTCCCTCCTTTACAGCAGGCAAAAATATATTTGCCGTCTATGAGTGTAAATGAAAGCAAAAATTAAAACGAGAAAAGAAAAAAAAGGCTTCAGTCTCCTTTTATATGCTTTGGCGTGAAATGGGTTTTATTTTTTAGTTACTTTTTAAACTTTTCTCCATTCAGTTTCTAGACATGCTGGATACAGTTGTAATTTATATAATTGTTCAGGCATTGCACTGAAGAGCCTTCCAAAAGCACATGATGTTGATGCTACTTGTTTAACACGGCTAGTTTTAAGATTTAGAAATGCAACGTAGCATAGCAAAGCTTCCCCGTGACACCTAGTGTAGTTTTACAAGAATTTCCACGTACAAAGCAGTCTTGGATGCTTCTGAAGCCAAAACAAAAACGTCTGATAAAAACCGAGCATTATGGTGCTAACTGCAAAGTTCATTTCCCTTCCAAAGTCCTTCTTTAATTATAAAAACTGCATAACCCATTTCCTTTAGTGTGCAAAAAGGTGTGTAATTAAACCATCAGCATAATACCTTTCTACATGTAAAACCTGCACTTATGAACTTTAACTGCTGAATAAAAACTCCTATTACATGACCATTAAGTATTATGAATAAAGCAAGTCATTGTAGTACTTGATTAATTTTTATGCACTAAGTATTGTGTTCAGCAGAAATTCAGTTTCTGTGGGTGTCTTCCCTACAGGGTTCGACTGGCGGCTCAGTTCCCCCCACACATCCTAATCCTATTTCAGGAAACAACAGCCTCCACTTTCTTCACTTTTTGCTTTAGCTTCAAAACTGAAAAAAACCACAGAACATATATGATGTGTCATTCCAGGTACACACATAAATGGTGGATGATAAGTGCTTAAAGGATGAGTAATAGCGTGGGGGTGAGATGACTACCACTTAAACCCAACAGTGCAGGCACAAACTATAACTGCTATGCGCTTCAAGTCAACTAAATGTCCTTTTGTGCCACTTAGGCTGGGTGTTAGGGCTACAGGAACTCTTCAGAGGTAAACCACCTCCAATGCATTCCCACCTTCAGTGCTCTCCAGCCTGCAGGAGCAGACTGAGATGAGGCCCAGATGCCCAGCATAGCATGTAGGAGTTGTAGAGATGCATGGTTGCTCTGTTCATGGGTTTCCCCACTCACTGCCGTGTGATGGATGTAGAGTAGGGTGTGTTTCACAAATGTTCCCACAGGCACATTCTTTATTTTCCTGCAGAGAAGCGTTGCTTATGTGCTAACAAGAAACAACTGACAGGACCATCTGAGGGTAAATACACTGTTGTCAGACCATGACGACCAGAAATAGAAGAGTAAGTATCTTTAGCACTCCTGTCTTCTGATATTTTTGTACCAACTAAATCAAGACATTTTATAATGTGCTTAAATGTAAATTTGAAAATACAATTCTGCTACTTACAAACACTTTGGGCCAAACCTTGCCATCCTTCTTTAGTCTATCTATCACTGAAATGCTCATGGAAGATTGGGAATATTTACACCAATCAAAGCAGCTGGGTTTGGCCCCTAATTTACATGCTCATAGCAGATGTTCTGAGGCAGCTGCAGAAGAAAACTTTGCCAGCATGGCTTCTTCCTAGGGTGCTGAAGGATCACAACAATATTATCTGATGTGGATTGGCAAAGGCATTATGTTAGTAGTCAAGACCCTCCTCCTCCCATACAGTTCTCTGCCAAGAATCTGGAATAGAGGATTCAGTTTTGACCAGTTATGTTCAACAAAGATGAATTCAAATGGAACAAGATGCAGAAAAGGCAATAGCATGAGCAGGGGAGGTCAAGACGAGAGTATGTGAAAGCTTCACGAGCTATGTGAAGTGGATAAGGGGGGATCCAATTGCTCTGTAAAATTAATTGAGGGGGAGGGGCTATCATAGAGGGGCAATGCTGGCACAAGAACAAAAGGATATAACCTGATTGTGAATAAATGTAAGCTACCATTTAACAACTTTGTAGCTGTAAGTGTAGTGAGGTTCTGGAGTAGGCTCTTTTTAATGGAAAGAGAAGGGGCAAACCTCTCTCATTTTGAGACGCAGCTTCAGCAGCTTAGCAGAGCGATTATGTCAGGGGGTCTGCGGCCCGCAGGTCAAATCTGGCCCACCAGGTCATTCTACCTGGCCCGCGGGGCCCCTAAAAATGTTAGAAATTAATTTGTATTTGCCCCTGGCTGCCTGTCAAAGATGACAGGCAGCCAGCAGCAGCAGGACCCAGGGGGAGCCAGTGGCAGGACC